ACCTACATCTACGTGTTACTTCCAGGTCAGGGTTGAATCAGTGTGTCCCAGGCTGGTCAGCTTGACCTTGGGATGCTGCTGCCCTCAGTTAGCACCAGCTTCTCCACCAACACTGCTTGCCACCACTGGCTAGATATAAATATATATTCCTAGTCTGAGACTTTTCTGGTAGAGTGAACTGACTTAAGATTCCCCGGCCAATGGATATTTACAAATCACTGACTTACATGGTAAATACCGGTTATACACAGATTCTGATTTTCTTGGTATTCCTCAACTAATTAACAAAATTCAGACGATAAACAGAATGTTACTATTTTTAGAAAACATTATATAACATACTTTAACTGCTGTCATAAGCTTACTTCCAACAAGATGATATAAACACAGCACTTTACTAGGTTTACCTCATTTGCTTTCTGACCTTTTTTACACAGAAGCAACCAAAAGAACTGAAAGCTCCACCTTCAACTATCCACATTTCTTGGTCTTTCTGTTTCCACCAAGCAACCAAAATGAGGTGTTCCAATGGTTCCTGTGCATAATTTTACACCAGTTTATTACAATCCAAATTAATTCAGAAATTCCAGGAATAAGACAATGTGTAACTTTGAAACGCACATTAGACCATTCCATATCCTGTTCACGGATTCCCTCATCGTGGGAGGCAGATATTATTGAAGAGAAATCAACCTACCTGCAAACACTTCAATTTGCAGCACACCAACTGGTTTCTCAAAGTAAAACTTTAGGGCTTTTTAGCTCATGAACAGAAGTTGAGTAACAAGTACCTTTCCAGGGAACAACTAACCCATGGGAAGAAAAGAGCCGGGGCAGTAGAACTGGCGGAGTTCTCATGTTTTGCAAAGTCTGTGGTTTAACCTACTTTCTTCCCTCCTCTCAGTCTGCTCTTTTGTTTACTGAAATGTCTCATCCTATTTATTACCCACATACAGAGGCCAGAGGGCAGGTCAATGGGAAGGATCACGTTGTTTAGCATTGTTCTGCAGATGAAAATGATGCTGATGGTAAAATAAGCAAATCCATAGGTCATACACTCAGCATCAAGTAAGTGCATAACCTACGGGAACACAAAACCAGGATAACAAAGTTATGCATCATGTGCACGTGCAACGCAGCACGGCAATTTCAAATCACACGATTCTCTGCGCGGTGCAGCACAGCACGGCCATTTCTGCGCAGACCCAGGCTGTGCATGCCTGTGGTGTCCCCAAAATCAGAAAAAAGAACAGTAATACCCCGTAAAGTCCACACGCTGCCTTTATCCAGGGTCCCAAGTTGACAATACTGGAATACTGCCCACTAGGAGTGAAGTTCTTCATCTCCCCTCCCTGCCCATGGGACAGGGGGATGACACAGCTGGAGCTATAGAGGCACAAGACATAGTATCGTCTTGGATTCTCAACTTCGAGAGATCAGTTATCCAAAAGGCTGAAATAACAGATTTAATACTGTGGCTTACTGGGAAGTTAGCTCACTGTAACTGCTCATCTGCAATAAACGTCTGAAGACTCTAAAACCACTGGAGTTTGAACCAAACGACCTCCAGAGATCTTTTCAATCTAAATTGCTCTGAGTCTCAGCATGTCCTTGAAGTGCCATCCTGATCAAAAAAAAGTCTAACAAATTAATGCTCTAAAATTCTCAATACTCAAAATCCGATCAAAAGTTTTGCGATGTATTGAGATTACTCAGCTATCCAAAGAAAAATGTTTAAACATTATTGACAATTTAAAAATAGAACTTAATGGAACTTAATTGCTCTCCACTCAGCACAATTCTTACCAAAGTTACATTAAAGGACAGATGATAAAGGACTACATCTGCTACATCCACTTCAATAAAAGTTGCAGTCAATATTTAATCCATGGCCTTTTACTTCTGACAGCTCACATAACTGCTCCTGAAGTCCACAAGTATTTTGAATACGACCAGTTGTTCCATGAAAAAGAGGATAAATACTGACCACTTCAGCACTGCTGTAATTAAATACATTGCTCAATTACTATTAGCTAGGGGGATAAAGATAAACTCAGAATTTGGAGGAATTACCTTCTTTAGTTAAGAGCATTTCGCAGTTCACGTGTTGGCTAATTTTAGGGCACAACATGTACAAACTGGCTACAATGAGCGTTTGAAGACATTACAGCATGAATACTGAAATCATTCCCTTTGAATGCAAGAGACAACCATGCAATGTCTCCATCTCAAAAGCAACCCAAACCTTCAGATTGGTTACCTCATGACATGTGACAACATCTGCAAGTGTAGAAAAAACCTGTAACGCTTTCTACATCTTAAACTTCAGCCTTCAGTGAAAGACAATTAACAATCTCTCACTTGTTTCTATTCCTACCCTCATAGATACGACCGCTCCCAATGAACATAAGCCTGATACTTTCTTCGCCACAAACAAATGAGTATATACGATGTCGCAGTTATTACCTGCACCTTTTCCTTAACCAGGTTGAGAGCATCTCCTCTATACCTTCCTTTCTCTTTCACTCCTCCTTCTTTTTTGTGTCAATGCTTTAACTCCCCCAGGACAGCTTTTAGAAATCCTTTCGCTGTCAGGCCAGGCTCAGTGCTACAGCCCTTGCTGCTCACTCTGCAGATCCAATCAGGTTTGGCACAAGCAGCTCCTCCCTTTGGGAATACGTGACCAACTGTGTATATATAGATCTTTCCGTGTCCCACAAAAATCTAGATTTATTAATGTAATTGACATTTCTAGAATCTCCTTGATTTAGTACTAAAGCCCTAAACATACTTCCATGTAACTATCTTTTACCTTTAGGGATTTGTGGTCAGCTTGTCACCTAAGTACAAGCATCACTCCCACCAGCGGGACTGATGTATCTTCATCCACATACAAGGCAATGCTGTCGGCAGATACAGTAGTACATGAAGATGTTAAATCCAGGTTTTATACATCAAGCTGTTAACGCTTAGCCTAAGGCTTTAGAAAAACCATTTGCCTGGACAGGTATCTAAAGTCTCATCTCAAAACCACCACAACCAGTACCCATGCCCTTTCACAGCTGTACCCGGACGTGTTCATGTTGCCTTATCTTCCAAAAAACTACACCAGGACTTGCTGGACAGATCTGTTTATCCCAATGAACCTGACAAAGTGCATGCCCAATGCCAGAGCCAGGCTCACTGTTCTGTCACATTGTATCAGTGCAAAGCGCTGAGAAACTTCCATGGCCCAATTATGCTTCATTAAACTAAGCCCATACTCTGCATGCCAAAGAACCATCTTAGCCTTGTGGTTCCCACAGGATAAAAAGAATCACTTCCCTAAACATGAAAAAAAAAGTTTTATTTTGGAAGTCTGTGCAGAGAAGCACTACAGGCGTTAGTCAGCTCTCAAGGAGATGCTGAGGTTACTGCTTTGCCTCAGTAAAACCAGCCTTCAGGCAAGCCTTTATAAAGCCAGTGCCATAGCTATGAAATGTGCCCCATTAACTGTGCAGAACAAGAAAGTAAGACCCTTGTCCTCCAAGTTCAAATTCAGGAATTCCAGACAACTGCTTTATCGCTTGTCTGTTCTGAGCGTTAGAACAGAGGAAGGTCAGTACAAGCAGAGGAAAGACAAGGGACCAGAGCACGTAGCTAAGCAGGGGATCATGACACGGATGCAAGAACATGATCAGACTGCGCTCACACGTTCTGTTCTGACTTAATAGTTTATCCTCTTCACTACCTGCTGCAAACGCACAGTCACACTCCACCTTCCAAGGTGCCAAGTCAACTGCTCAGGTTATCATACCCTAAGCCATTTAGAATCAAGCCAGTTAGCTCGAGCACAGACTTACCCGGGGGGTGAGAAGCTTAAGTGGATCTATATTCCACTCACACCCATTAGCTCCTCTCACAGCCTACAGAGGGCATCAGGAAAGACAGAGGCTAATTTATCAGATGGGTGAAGAAGGCTAAAGTCTCTTCCCGAGGCTTCAGCAAGTCTCTGCAGCTGCAAAGACACCTTGTTGCCAGGGCAGGCTGGTGCCCTGGAGCTGCAATGCAGAGCCTGTCTCTGGTGGGCTGAGCTCCAAGGAGTTCCCAGGGCTTGTCTTGTCTCAAGGCACACGGAGGGATTCGGTTCCTCGTTCCCACCCCTGGTGTAACCTCCCACAGCTCAATCTGTTTCAGTAGGTCTTGGTCCATTTTGACCGAAACTGTTGGGGTGACGTTCCTGTGAGCTGCTGAGCCAGCAAAGAGGGACAGGCAGGTGGGGTTAGCGCTGAAAGAGGACACGGCTGCAGAGCCTCACCGAGGTCAAGAGTTGGAAGAGAAAGACACCCAAGTCTGGAATACTAAGCTCCCAGAGAATAAGAGGGAGAATGGAGGGAAGCAAATACCAAAGACAAAGAGAAATTGCTAGATATTCAGGTTGCAGAAAGTGCAGTCAATTCACATCTTTAACATGACATCTGTCAACGTATTTACTGCCAACGTCTTCAAATTGAAAAAAAATAAATCTTTCTAATGCTCTGTTCATTATTTGGTCAACTGCAAGCAAAACAATTGCCACTTCAGTAAGTACCAAGGATGGATCACTTGCAAAGACAATGGGGAAGCTGATTCAGAAGGAAAAGAGTATTCCTTCCTAGAAAAAAACATGTAAGAACAAAAGGCTTCAGAAACAAGTATCGTGACAGAAATATTTAAGCCAATAAACTCAGTAACTAAATGCTTCAAGTAGGTTGGATGTTTGTCAAAATATCTTGCATTGAAAGAAAAGTTACTACAAAGACCTAAAACACTGGCATTTGTTGGGAGCAAGGGAAGTAGAAAATCCAAAGGGCGCGAGGGAAAACGGGCATTATTATCAGCCAGTCCCCAGGGATCCCCGTCTCAGAGTCATAAACACACATCAGGTACCAGCATTAAAACGATGACCCCCTGAACCAGGTCTGTGACTACAGGGAGGTACATCAAGAAGTTCATACTTTGCAAGACTCACAATGGTCTCTCTACTTGTGCTCAATCTGCAAATGAAGATAAGGAGTATCTAATTAACTTCCTGAGGTTAGTCTATGGTTGTTAAAAGGGCTTCCGACCTTACACAAACAATTACAGTCCCCAGCCCAGAGCTGAGCCTTGGCAACCCACAAACTCATTACCCAACAACTCTGCATATCCTACCCTGAATACACTGTTGTATTTCAGCAGCAACCAGCTGGTGGTCTGAAAACTGGGTACCTCTAGTAACATGCACACGCTCTTGTCACCTAAAGACAGATTGAAATCTTCAGAGACAACACCAGAAATTACTCAAGGTAAAGGGTTTTTGGTTTTAGAAGCTATGTAACATAAAGGGAGAGAGGTGAAACATTCAAAACGATAAAGATAAAACCGAGGAGTCTGGGAAACAGAGAAAGAAGGAAGTAAATGTGCTGTAAGGAAGGGGCTCAGAAAACATGAGACCTGATTTTAGGAGCAGAGAGGTATGAATACACCATGTTGCATTACAACTCATTTCTTTGTGAAGGACATCATCACCTCAGTAATAATAAAGCCCAAGGAAACACCTCTCCCTACACCAAAGAATAGGAATTTAAGGTGTAAAAGCATTTAATAAATTGGAATCAAACCAGCAGAGGCTGTTGTCCGTCGTGGAGCAAAACCTACGTAAAAAGATAGTCAGAACATTTCATTAGCATTTCGTTGAATTAATGGTGCCCAACGCACACAGTTATCTTGAACTCTGCAAAACAGATCCAATAAAAACCTGTGCCATTTCTACTGTGAAAGCACTCACAGGTTCCAACTAAAATAATGCAAAACTCTGCAAGCACACAATGCTCCAAAGCACTTCCAATCACAAGGACGCAAAACTTAAGTGGGCAGCATTAAGCTTTGCCATTTCTCATTTTACTTAAAATTTCCAGTTGTCAACAGATGCAGCACTCTAAAGCAACTATTTAGCAACAAATCTGATCTGAAATACATTAGAACTTCAGTAAACACAGAAGTTTTTCTTTAAGAGCTGCAGAAGTCCTGTCAAGCAATACTCAATAGCCACATGCTGGTCGTGGTTCCAAGCCACTTCGAGTCGTCAGTGTAACAGACTCATCTTAAGATGAAAAACTAAAGGTAACCAAGCCCAACATCTGGATTTGCTTTCCCTTACCCACATGTGGTCCTTTGAGCTAGGAACAGTCAGAACTGCGTTCTCCTCTTTGTTAGTGATGATCTAAAAACAGCTATCCGGCCTTTCAAACACAGGCAAGGCAAACAGTGTAAGGAGAACTCTGCTCAACGTTGGGACTTCAGACTAGTCACAATTATTGAGACCCGAGCGATTTCCTCACTTATTTAAGCACACTAGTTAGGCAGTAAGCATCCCTGCACGGGAAAGACAACCTCTCACTAAAAATCAAAGCACTGCAAGTCCCTTTATGCTTTAAAAATAAAAGTTTATTTATTTAATTTGACAAGGTCAAACTTGGACCATATTCACTATCAAATGCTGTTTTCAACAGTTATCAATAAGTAAGGCAGGGACTTCTTTTAATCATAAACATCAGCAGGAGGCCAGTTTTAAAGGTATTTGTTCCTCCAATGGTACAAGTAAAACCAAGGCAGGAAACTGGAAAGAGTATGGAGATTGCAGTTCCGTTGCCATTTCTTTGAAGTGTGTTAGCGCGCTTTGAAGAAATTGCCCTTGAAATATGAAAGAGCAAATTCCTGCTTTGTAAAATTTCTGAATATCTGACACAGCTATAAAAACTGACAAACACATAATCAATCTGACATGGAGAAAGAGACACTTTGATGCAAGTAAGAACTACACAGCCAGATGAGGCCTGGTTCCAATTAACATTAGCAATATAAATTTCAGTGAATAATTGGGGAAAATTATTGGACATTTTTGTTTATCCACAACACTTTTCCATATTTTTTTAAAAATACTGTGAATTTATCTTGGCATAATGACCTACCTCTGTATGTCTTGAATGAAGTGCATTGTATTCTTTCTTGAGTTCTGCCTCCCTCTCCTCAAGTCTGCTAACTGGAAAAAGAAAAACAATTTAAAAATAATTAGAATGAAAAGTAGAGTTCTAGTAAATAAGACTGACTTGCCTAGGACTAGGCAAGAGATGAGAGTATTCTCAGTACCAAATGACAAAAAGAAAGGATAAAAAGTGCATTGGTTCTTTGTGGTTTTAAACTCTCATCCCTTGAGCTTCCCAAGCACATGGACAGCAGCACAGTCTTACGATTCGCAATCCTCGTAAAAAGCCCAAATACTATTTTCCCTAGGTAAGTGCTCGTTCAGAGAGGGGATTTTTATGTTCAGGGACAGCTACTGCTCGCACCAGTCCAGATTGTTTCACAGGTGCACACGCAAACCGTAGGAAGAGGCAGAAGCCACGTCACGTAGCTAGACTCGGTCTCGGAGGAGAGCTGCGAGCGCCAGTTAAGGCTCTACGCTGGTTTCCTAGAACATCACCACACAACCTCCAGCGCTGGTTAACTAGGACACACATAAACAAGGTATTTTTTAAATAGCTTCAAGTCATGTGTTGTGGTACTGAAATTAAGACTTCTGCCGGCATTCACTCATATTTCGCTGAGAATTAAGGCAATGGGTTCACAGAAGGAAAACATTTGAATATTTCTGTAGGTATTCCAAGAAATTAAAAATACATCTAACAGATTTATTAGAACTTTAGACAATAAGTTCATAGGAAGAGGAGATGAGCTGGAACAAGCTGTGATAGCCCCGTGCAATACATTTGCAGAGAACTAAAGCAATTCAGAACTTTCTCCATACAGCTTATTTTTTCCATTCAAACAGAACACATTTTTTGATGCTTAGATGGGAATTCCATCTTTTTGTTCAGGTATTTTTAAGCATGATGTTTATGTGATAAAAGCGTGTGTTTCGAGTTTTGTAACTGAGCTTCTCTTATTCTACTTGTCACGTTTAAATACCCCTGGGAAACGTCAAATATATCATTACCCATCTCCAGAGACGCATTGCCAAACACACATTATCTGAAGATAAATGCCAGCACTCTCTCTGCTATTTGCACATTTTTGTTATTGCCAACAGGGTCTTCTGAAAATTAATTCTCAATATACTTTTTCTTTTTGCTCTATCTATCTTTATTTGGGCAGAGTACTTTATCGTAAGTACATTTCAATCAAAAAAAAATTTGACAGAGTCAAATGTTGGAACCAAAATACATAATTGTCTGCTCACTCAAATCTGTGTAAATATTTTTAGCTCCTAATCTAATCTTGCTCTTATAAGAGCATTAAGTTCCTTGACACAACCTTTTGCACTCCACCTATAAATACCTGGCCAAAAGTATTACACCAAATTTTATTTATACTAACTGAGGACTGCATGCTTTCATTTCTGCACTGTTATCAGACTGAATGAGAGTCCTTTGGTCAAACAGCAGTAAGCGATGTCCAAGTGTTTACAGCACAACATCTATTTTACAGCACAATACATACATAAAGATGTATTTTTTGAGAGGTAAAACAGGACACAAATCCAGTATCTAATGAAGAATTTAGTTTATTATTTTTTATTTTAGGTAACAGAGGTTTTAAGCCTCCTCATACATTTAAAGAAAAGTTCTAGAGAAGCTTGTGCAAAGCGCCTACAGAAACAAGTGTCAATTTATAGTTACAAAGCCTGACACGACAAAACAAATTTTACCCACTATCTTTGCCTGGTATTGTGGTCAGAAGCAATTACAACAGAAGACCACCGAGACATCCTAGCAGAACCAGGTGGTAGCCAGGAGGCAGAGCTCAGCAGCTGTAGCTGCTCACACCCCATCCAACGACGGCTGCGCTCACGTGGGAACCCACGACGTCCAGACTTGGAGCAGCTCTCCCCGCCCTGCAGACAAGGGCCTGTCCCAGACCTGCTTCGGGTCAGGCCTGGGAACAGCTCGGGAAGCGCAACCGCATGACCAACCGGCCTCGTGTGCTGGAAACGCGCTCCGGGCCCTATGAGCCATCCCACGGCCCGGAGGCAGGCGGGCAGCCCGGCCGCAGTTCCCGCCCTCACCGGGCAGCGGCATCGTGGTTCAGCGCAGCCTCACCGAAACCTGCACAGAAACACGGCGACGGCCCCGACATGGCTCGGTACGTTCCCGACAGCGCAGCCAAGGCAGGCTCCTGCAGACTCGCTTCATCTGGTGGGTTCTGGGAAAAGCAGGTGACACAGAGCCCTCAATGAAAACAAGCGCCACACGAGGGGTTACAGACACCCTTCTGCATACCTGTCCATAATCCACCCTCATGAAATCCACACAAGCATTTCCCGCTGCCAGGGATATAAAACAGTCTGGCAACAGCTGAGGTTCCATAACGAAGCACACCATTTTCTCCTTCTCTGGCTCAATTTTAAATAGTTCCTTAAATCAAGTCACAAAAGACAAATGTAGGTAGATATGGGCAACATATTGTCAAGGAGAGTATCTCCATTAAACGATAACCTTCATATGTAATGAAGTGTTAAAAACATGAAGGCCCTAGAAAATCATATAATTGACATGCAGCATTTCTGGAAGTGACTTCCAGCTGTGTAACACGTTACAGTCCCACAGCTGGAAGTCTGGGTCATGTACACCAAGTTTCTACACCCTCAGACACCACATTAACAGTCCTCACCAGAGGCTTTTCAAATCGCAGCAGGATTATAGTCAACACCAGACACCTCTTGTACCCCAAATACGTCTCCTATCAAAGATCTCAACACAACAACCAACAGAACATGTTTCCCAATTAAACACCATGGAAGAGATCAGATAGTCCCCAGGGATCAGAGATGACCACGGACCTGAACACAGAAGATACCTGAACCCAGTGAAGCCAGAAGGATTTTGAGGAAGACCACCAGATTCTGTCTCCAAAACCCTGGAGAAACCCAGTAAGTCACTATTAAAAGTACACTCCCATGAGAAGTAACAGGAAACTAACAGCAATGAAATAGGAGACAGGAAAAGATGAAGAAAAAAAAAAAAGGCTTCCACTGGCACACAGGAGTACAGTGCAAACCAAATTGTCACCAGTTCCATTTTACTCCACCTGCACACAAAAGAGTAGAAGTCTGGAACAACTCTGATAACACCTCCCCAAAAGGAATGGAGTTGGTTGTTGATGCTGACACAAGCAGGATCCACAAAGTGCCAACTAGATACAAATTGCCATCAATTTGCCTTTTAAGTAACAAAAAGTTCCTCTAATATTTCAGTCTTATATTGTTTTCCATTACGATGTCGAATTCTTAACAGGTAGATGAAATCAGTTTGACAATACACACCCTAAAAGCAAAATTTCCATTTCCTCTTTTGTAAAAAAAGCCATTGCATCCCTGTTACGTCATGGAAGAATTGCAAGATCACATGGTGCAAGGTATTCCACATGCAAAATAGAATACACATCTAAAGAGTTTCACTACTCATGGTCCCAAGTCTACACGGAACAAATTTAAAGGTCTCTCAGCATCCAGAGTATGAGTATAAAATGCAAATATTCCAGTATTTTCAGGCTGGTGAGAAAGCATCCCGCTGGAACATAACCACAAACTCACACTCAAGCTCTAACTGCAAACTTCTCCAGCACTGTCAATATCCAAACACCTTCAATAACCTGAAGGACAAATCCTAATCAAAATTCTGTCAAATCAAACCAATCAAACCAAAAAATGGGGAACTAAATATTACAACAAACTAGAGAGCAGACTCTGGAGTTACTGCTTCTTGACAGCATTAAGAATGAGGCAGCAAAGCTGCCCACCCTGCCTGTTCAAAAATCAGAGCTTACCTCCCAAGTCTGATGGCTTTACCAAGTTTGGAACACCCTCCATGTGTATGCTGTCCTCTGCCTCAAACTGCTGATAAGCCTGAGGGGGAGAAAGAGAAACAGACCTGCTAGAACGCCAAATCCAACCAGCACGATGCCCTCACGAGGAATTCCAAGTTCCTGCTATAGAAGCCAGGGCAGAGATTCAGCTCATTAACGAGCCTTTCCTAGCACTACGACTACCTGCAGGCTCTCCTTTGGCAGCTTTCACCCAGCTCTGTTCTTCACAGCAGGTTCCATATCAAAGTTAAGGTATGGATCAAGCATAAACAATCCCATGATCCAGTAGGACCTCATGATCTGTTAAGTAGATCCTAAAGAGCACACACATAAACCCTGGACTGAAACAGGGACTGAAGCTACCAAACAAGTATTTAACCTGAAAGTGATAAGACCTGGAAATAAGCAGCACAGAAAACTGAATTGTAAAACAAGAGATAAATTTGACTCCTCAGCAAGACCAACATCTTCAAGAACCTCTTGCCACTGTGAACTACAGGTCTAGTTCTCAGTTTAAGAAGTAGAGCACTTAAAATTATGAAGATAATTTAGTTGTCAAGAATTGTTCCTGCTCTGGCAGGGGGATTGGACTAGATGATTTTTTGAGGTCCCTTCCAATCCCTAGCGTACTGTGATACTGTAATGCTCCAGTTGTCAAGAATGATAGAAAATATCTACACGCAAAGCTGCATGGTTGTACCCCAACACTTCTGAACTGTACAACTATCCACTATGTCTCAGACCCACAGAATCACTGTAATTTCTGACCAAAAATCTAACACAGAACTTGGAGTGGGGTGGAATTTCTCCTTAAACATTCTGCTACAACCATTTAATATGAAGACAACCATACGCAGGAGATCCCTCACAAAGGCTGAGATTCAAATGAACAAGGATACATACAAGTCAACTTCTACCCAAAATCAAGTTACAATCATTTGGACCTAGTACCAACTTCTTGCCCAGTCTCTGACCAAAGCAGTGCTTCAGCAAGAGAAGTTTTGATTGACAGTGGGATTCTTCATTTATACATTTGGCTATTGGAGCAAGCAACTTTTCTCAAAACCCAGCATGAAGTCAGCATGAACACAGAAGCTACGGCAGACTGGATTCATTTTTAAAGCCAGATAACCAGTGACAACTCAGGAATATAAGATTCTAAAAGACATTTAAAGTCAC